CGCGTTGTACGAGATAACCGCCGACGACCAGCAGTCCGTCAAGCGGGAGATGGACGTGCCCGAGTCGATCGTGGGTGCCATCATCGGCCCCGGTGGCCGGTCACTGGTCGAGATCCAGCAGATGAGCGGCGTCACCATTCACATATCCAAGAAGGGCGTGTACGCGCCGGGCACCACCAACCGGAAGGTGACCATATGTGGGTCGGCCAGTGGCATAGCGATGGCTAATTACCTGATGCAGCAGAGGATCGTCGACGAGGAGACCAAGCGGGCCCGCGCGTTTTGAGCCGCATGACGCGCCCGATGCCTCCGTTTTGCGTATATTATGATATATATAGTCTAAGTATTACAATAACTCGCCTTCTACGTAATTTCCATATTCATATTATTCATATTATTATTATTTTTATTTGTACCGTTGCTTCTTCCTCTCGACCCATCTCCACAACACCACCCACATTGCCCCTTCCACCCTCTTAGTTGACATCATCCCCCCCTCATCGAGTGTTGTATGCGTGTGTGTGTGTGTGTGTGTGTGTGTGCGTGTGCGTGTGCATTATAATAATATATTAAAATGAAACGGGTGGACGTCATCCGTCGCCGACGATTTTTTTTTTTTAGCTGAAGAATTCTAAATTTCGGTCGTTATTATTATTATTATATATTTTATTTTAAATTTTAATTTATCAGCGCAAACACTTTGAGATTCATTGCGGACGTCGGCGACAGGACTTATTTACCACAGTCATATAATGTTGATTCGTATAAAGGTTTAATATTATATTATATTTTACATTCATTGTTCATGTGTGCCTTATACAAAAACATTATACCCCATCATACATTATTCCTACATTTTTTTCACAGTTATAATAACTAATTTGAATTTAAAAAAAAAAAAAAAATTGTTACGGTTTTTGTTTGTTTCATAATGCCTGCGGCAGCAATCATATTATTATGTTTTGTTAAAATAGAAGTATACTGAACCATAGATAAATTAATTGATTAGGTTAGATATACACAATTATTATTGATTATTATTATTATTATTATTATGATTACTAAAATACGTTAGGTGCGGTTTTTCGTTGGGGTCGTATAAGCAGCTTACGTTTAATGTTGAATACGCTAGCAGATTTAATAAGTGGACCAAAAGTGGGATAAAAGTTAACGTGTCTGTTTGTTTCCCTATAGGAAACGTTACGCGGAGGGTGGAAAACCCTTTTGAAGGGCCTAAATGTTTCTAATAAGTTGTTTTATGGTTTCCATTTACGTATACCTTTTCGAACAGCTCCGAGAATTTTATAAACATTGTACATATTACACAAAATTATTTATTTTTAAGACATCGTACAGCCCCGCCCCCGTCCCACATAAAATGTTTCCGTAAATCGTTTGGTACGTCGAGTAAAATAATTATTATATTCGTAAATAAATCCTATTTTAGAGTTCAGCTCATTAGATCGCAGTTCGTCACGTCTATACTTCGCAATACACATCGACAGCAGATAATAAATAATAATATTACGTCATAGTTTTACAACGTTCGTTGGACATCGAAACATTTTCCTCGGATTATTATTATTATTTTAACCATAATACCTACCTCTTCGTCCCTTCGAAAACTTATGTGCTGAAATAAGAGGACACGTGTAAGTGATAAACGTTTTTTTTTTTCGAACAGGGTATAATATTCACAGGACGGCTCATAACTCGATTCATATTATATGAAAATATATATTTAATTACACGATAATCTCGGGGAGTGGGGCTCCCCAGTAAACTAATCAGTAAACGCACTTATCCCATGTAGATGTATATATTGTATTATAGTATACATTATAAYGTTTAAGGACTAATCGCGAGTAAGAATCTTTGTATAGTGAATTTTCGTATTTTGTTCGTTTTCGTTTCGTTACATAATAATATCGTTATCGATATAACAGTCATCTCCCCCCAACACAGACCACATTATTCAGCTTATTGGAGAAAAATAATATTTTTATCGTTTGAAAGTAATATTTGCTCAACAGATCCCAACAAGTCGAATATAGTTCAATCCGTTAACCACCAAAAATTAATTCTATCCATCATTTCCGTGGTCCGAAAACGGTTGTACGATATGATTTTCTTCTCTTCTCTTTTCCTTTTTTTTTTTCATATGGAATAATGTGATATAATAATAGTTATGTTTTAAAATTGGTGTGAAATGCATTGGTGCTTTTTAATTATTATTCGTACATATAAATAAATGTTSATACGTATAGGGTGGTAGAACTGTTTAATACTCAACATAATATTATTTCAGTGTGCAGTGCATTTACGGTATATTATTACGATAGGTACATATTAAGTTATTATTATATGAACGATAAAAGACAATTTTTGCGTTTTGTTGTTTCTACGCGAGAGTTTATACTTTTCGATTTGATGACAAAATATGATCTGGAGGTTTCAATCTCGTTACGCACTGTAWAATACACTATTTTTGGATGTCTGAATATATAGTCATACTATGCATAACATTTCAATCGGTTCGTTTACGTTTGTGTATTTATAGAAAACTTTTCATAAACCTTTAGCCTAAAATCCGTCCTGAAATAACCGTTGTTTAATGGTCAATATAACTATTTTATCATCATTTATTTTTCATTTTGTGGACTAGCTAGTGTAAATTTATTATTATATTATCGGCCATCGGGTAACACAATATATTATATTTGCCATCGTCCAAAATGAATAAAAATAAAAAATAAAAAAATAGTAATAATAATAATATTGGTTATGAACTCGATCTCAGCGACACTAAAAATAATTGCTCGATCCGAGTACCAAATCTCAAAATAAAGTAAAATTGTTTGATGTATACCCCTTTTTAGAATTGTGTTTAAAAATAATTAAAATTATTCCACTTATACCTAAGTGTATGTGACCTCGTTATTATATTATATAGTTCTATGTATTAAGGTTAGTGATATTAACAATGGATAATTAACGTCGGTTGTTAAAAACTCTAAATTAGGAGTTTTAAATTTAATATTATAATGGGGATTTTAGTAAAATAGAAAGTTACGATTAATGTTATATTTATATTTATATAGAGCTATAATAGAAGCCACATAATGAGTTCAAATACAGGAGAATATTTTCGAAATAGTTTGATGTATAAAATTGATTTATGAACATATTAGTTTTAATATACGACAATGTCTATTGAAATGCATCTTCGTAGAAGTGTTTTAAYGTTAAAATATAATAAAAACAAACCGGTGACTTTTAAAAATCAAAGTAAACAATAGTAATGTGAATAATATTATGTTTTGATTTTTTCATAACACAGTATTTCGGCAATCAATGAAAAAAATTAAAAAATTTCAAATTATTTTACCGTTATAAACGAACATATCACACATTTAGATAAGTATAATACACATATATATATATATATATATATATTGTATATTATGTGAATGTATACACATGCAATGCACATGGATATACGTGTTAGTGATATACTTTACCATTTTCACAAACTTGTGATTTTTTTTTTTGTTATAATTTATTGTTAATTTATACTTACCATTCATTATTCATTATATCATTCCATAACTCATTTTCACACGTTTAAAACAAAGAAAATGTGATATTTAAATTTAATGAACTACATAATTTTATTGTATACATTGTTTATCCTATATAATATGTGTAGGCTATAAGTAGCTGCTAAAAGATTCCAAGCTAAAACACTACTACTACTACTACTACTACTACTACGAAAAAAAAAAATAACATTAATATCTTTACTCGGTATAATTTTTAAGGTGTAACTTTTTGATTGTTTTATCTTATAAGTTTTTATTAAAGGGAAATAATTATGTCCAAGATAAATGGAATTGGTACAGAAATAAAAAATGCATTTTGTTGTTACGGTAAATATCATGTTGTATTTGTTATCCAAACATTGTTTTCCGTAAACGTCCTTTTATTGATATATCCTGCACTTAATGTTTCACACTCGAGYTGAAATGTTTCAGACATTATTAACCGTAAACACTGTTGCGCGTATAGAAATTATTAATTTACGACCTACCTATTTTGTCCTGTAATATATTCATCACATGCATTATGAATGATATGACCTCTATTTGCGTATTACGTAAGTACCATATATCTTATATCTATGTAATAAATAAGCTWTTATTAAAACGAACCAACTGTTAAGATTGTGGGTTTTAGCCGCAAGAAGAGACGAGTGTACGCGTTTATGATAGAAACGACATTTTTTCTCTGATCAAAAACAATCTCGGTGATGGATCGTTTTCAATTTGTGATAACCACAGAAAATATGAAATGTATTTAAATGCTATACTTCGTCCTCCTAAATCACGACCACTGCAGCAGTATGGCTCGTCATTGCAACCAATCTGTCTGCTGTGTTGTCTGACATCACGTCCGTCGCCAGATGAGCATTACACCATACTGTTTTAGTTAGTTATTATTGTGTTTTTAGATTTTAGTTATAAATGGACGAGCGTTGGCGCCCACAATGGCCTTTGGATGGATTTTCAAGTACACATATTATACATACACTTCAAACTTCGGCGAGGACCTTGTTGAGAGTGTTTATTTGGTTGTATTATTGACGAGAGCTATATATGATTACGAAGGTACCCATCGAAGCTTACGGTAAAACGTTAAATCATTTATACACTCACAAAACGACAATAATACGTATCATATTTTCGGAGTTTTTTTTTACGTGACGAAAATAATTTATCATCACTATTATAATATATTCATAGRCGCAATTAGGTGGGGGCTAGGGGGGCTTAGCCTCGCAAATATTGTTGTAGCCCCCCTCCCCCCAAATAAAGCCATGATGACTTACGAATTTTTTATTCATCATAGAAATAAAATTGGCAAATTTTTCTTTTGAATCAAAAAAAACCTGAAATTATTATTATTTCAGTTATTATTCAGGTTGCACATTCCATAAAAAAAAATATACACGAGTTAAACGCATTACAGTCACACTGGTTATATTTGTTGTCACCACGGTTGTACACTTGTACCTATAGGCAGRGGGTGGACACTTAAAAATTATAACACAGTAATCATACTTATCACACAAAAACGTGGCGGCCATATTCTTATTTATGAATCAGTGTGTCCATACAATGAAAAATAAATTACCTAACTAAAAAATAAAATCACAAAATGATACGGTTAAAGTTAAAAATCTTGAAGTCCAACTTTTGGCCATAGACTTACTTCA